AAAAAAAATCGTCTTTTTTGAATTGCCTTTATTTCACGTAATGTCACTCCAAAACTATTATTTTTAAAAAGAATTACATATATATCTCCTAATTAAAGGCCTAATTGTGCAGAACATGTTTTATTAAGAAGAATAATCTCTACCTCCAATAATGCAGTTGCTGGAAGATGCCGAAAACAAATTAAACTTGCAATTTTGGAAAATTGAGAGTTAACAGTGAAAGTCGTTCCTATACTCTTTTCACTCTATTACAAAAAAATTAAGGAAAAATTTGGAAACATAATTGAGAAAATTTTGAAAATGTCCCAAGGTCTTGGTGTAAAGTTCTCTCAAAATTTAAAGAATCTTTTCCAAAATCCCAGAGCTACGAGTCGAACCAGGTCGCCCGGGGAATATTCATTTTGGAAAAAATCCTAAAAATAGTTTAGGCGCAACTGTTGATCACGTACAGACAAACAGAGTGACGGACGTTTTGCCGTAATACAAGTTTTCGGTATCAAAAATCTTGAATTCCGACTTCATAACATGTTGGAGCAAGCAATTTGCTACATATTGAAACAATAGTTATTCCCTTTTCTGCCTCAGGGCCCCAAATACGGGTTTTTCTATCGAAAAATTGACTCGGAGGCGAAGGCTCAGGCAAGAGTGTCATGAATGCTTCGGGAAGCCTTATTTATATGAAAATGGTGAGTTGACAACTCAGTTAACCTTCCCAGAACGGAAGGTTACCAGTGGGGAAGTTACAACTACGGCAAAGTGTCTCTGAGACATCTTACTTCACCTTTTAATAATAATTTCCACATATTTCGTTATACATCGTTACACTTGCGTTAAGCTATTCCTTATCATCATACAAGTCATTATACATATTAGAACATTACATATTAAATCGTCATTACATTTCATGGTAGACCGGCAACAACGGTAGTGAAATAAGTACAGCAATCGGAGCTATCGCGAAATTTGCGCGTTGAACTGCTTGCGATAGTAATGACGTTTCTGGAACGGGATGTGTGTCATCGCTGCAAATTGGAGCCGTGTTCTTATCACAGTCCGTGTTGGTGTTGCCGCAGGTGCTTCTGCCAGTCGGCGATTATGTGTCTTTGAAGGCGGAGCCTGCAGCAATCGGCCAACTGAGAAGGCAAGTGACCGCAGGCGAACAGCGATTAAACAGTGTCTTGCTTTGTTTACATCGGGATCGGTCTTAAGCTGAATAAGCCAGACAAAACAATTTCGAGAGCATACATGTACTACAAGGTAATATTTGATGCTACCAGACCCAAACACGTCTGTAATAAGGTTTCAAGTGATTTTCATCCTTGAAGGTGAATTCCAAAAATTGAAAATGTTGAAAGGTCACAATTCAAAATTTTAGAAGACAATTGATAGAGAGATTCATTAAACGTCAAGAAAGTTTCGCCTCGAAAATTAATAGCTCCCTTAAATAATGTTCGTCAAAGTGACAACTGACCCACCTCCTTCCTTCCAGTGTTAATAAAATATTTGTGCACCTCACTGAACTGTTATATAATTTACTGAAATAATGTTGGAAATCGCCATGCAGCGGGGGCTATAAGATGCATTTCACGCAATTGTGGCGTATCCTGTGCAGGGAAGAGCGCGATGTACAACGCAGGTCCCGCGTTGAATTAGGTCATCACTGCGGTGACGAAACCAATGGTACATGGTGAGGATTTGGTGTTTTTAACGCAGCGCACGGGCCCCGTCCGCACGAGCTTCTTAAAGAACTTGCCTTTCGGTCTGTCGAATTATGGAGCGTATGTCAGGCTAGGTTCGCGAGTGAACGAACTCTTAAAGTGACAAAGGTAACACAGAGCTATTTCCACATTTGTTTTTGTTTTTGTATTTTTGTTATTTCGAAAACGGGGTAGACTGGTCTCCGCTAGATATCATCTTGTTAGTAAGCAAAGTTTCGTGGTGGCCTTACGGTCATTGAAGCTAATCAAAACAGATTTCAAACTTTCGTAATTCTTCCCTGGCATAAACGTATTTATGAATAATGTAACGTCAATTTTTGATGTAATGTTGGATTACAACTGCTCTATTCAGCTCAAAGATGATATGATTATGTAATAACTATGTTAAACATAAGACTTTACGTTTTGTGTAATATTTTTTAAGTGTTAGAACGAAAAATGAGCTGAAGAGAATAATAATATCAGCCATTATAACTTCAAAATAAAATATTAAATCGTAAATTATTAAAATAAACAAAATTTGAAAGAAAATTAATTTTTATATATAAATATTTTTGTTCACAAATTTTAAAGCAAACGTATGCGCATTTCCATAATTTTTGCTTCTTTTCAAAAATGTATTATCAAAATAATGTTATTTAAAATTTCCATTTGGCTCTGCGTCACGAATTAAAACTGAGAGAAAACCTTATTTAACCCTAACCCCAATGTGATGTAACAAGAGAATGCTGCCTTCTTGTCTCGAACGTTCCGTATCCTTTAGACGTGTTCTCTATCTCGTTTCTTTTGCTACAGTTTCATATTACCATGAAACTTGCTATCCTTCGTTGAATCTCTTGATACGCCTCGTGCAAGAAAAAATCTGTAAATCAATAAGTATGAAGAAACAAAATACAGCACGTGATAGTTTCTCTTTCAAAAACACAGACTTATTTAAGTAGACACAGAATCTTCCATTGTACTTTCTTTTTCGTAATACTGACGTGTTATATCTACTTAACGCAAGCAAATAGAGAAACGAAGTCTTTATTACCGGCCGATTTGCATGCAAGATTGAAGTCCGTTAAGAGAACGAATGAATTGTGGGTAGAGATAGCGTAAACAAGCAAGTACCCTTTTTTCAAGAAATGGTATTGCATTTTTACTTTTCCGCGCTTAAAAAGGAACTTCTTAAGAAGATAAAGTCAAGTAATGATGCACGAAAATACAGGGATATTTCGGCAGAAAAACTTTGATTATAGAGCCTTGGTAACGAAAAAATGGATAAATACAGAACCTAAATTTAGAAAAAATCCTCTAACGTGGCGTATCCAGAATACTTGCTTTGTGGGTCCTTGACAAACGACGAAAAGTCGATTGACGGAAAAACGTCTGTCCGTCCGTCTGTGAACAACGCTAACGCCTAAACCGTCCAGTCGATTTTCTGCAGAATCAATATTCCCCTGTTGATCTGGCTGCTGTCGTGGCCCCTTGATTTTGAAATCGATAATTTAATTTTCAGTTTTTTTTACTTCAAATCCCTGGGACATTTTCAAAGTATCCCAAAAAATGTGTCCATTGATTCTGATCAAATATGATTGTTGGATAGTCAGAAGGGCATTTAAGAGAATGGTGCAGATCTCATGTGGGTTCAATAATGTTGTTCTGAAAATTCAAAAAATTCAATTTTTTTTCTGACGTCTTCCTCCAACTAAAATATTAAAGATAGAGATTTTTCCTTTAACACCCTCTGTTCCTTAAAGATAGATTTTGAAATACGGTCATGCAAAATTATCGAAAAATTGAGTATTTTTCATGTAATTTTGCGTGAAATTTGGGCAGATTTTTTTCCTACAGCTCCATCGTTTTTTATGAAATATTGTCGGTGGATAGCTTAAGAAAATGGTGCAGGTCTCATGTTGGTTGAAAATCATGATTTTTCGTCAATTGGAAAAATTAAAAATATTTTCGGCATCTTACTACAATTACAATTATGAAGACACAGTTTTTGTCTTAATGAATTTGTTAACCAAAAACAGAATTTTAATTGTCATGTTGAATTTTAAAAAAATATGAAAATAGTTGGAGTAATTAGGCGTCAAAGTTAGTCGTCGGCTCTGAAAATCTTACGCTTCTTGATCGTAATTTTAGTGTTGTTTTGAAGCATTTGGATTCTAAGTAAATTAAAATGTATATACTATTTCAATATTTTTTGTTCGTTTATTACATATATTTTGTTATACGTTTACAAATAATCAATCTTTTAGAAATTATGTAAAACCTATTTGAAATAAGAATGAAATAAAGATTGCCAGCCTTCAGTCGCCCGCTCCCAATTTACGCAGTTGGATACGACGCAATTCAGAATTTGTATATTGTTCCACATTTAATTTTATTATTATATACTTATGATATTTTATTTTAAGTTGCGTCCTTTAATTGTGTTAAATGTAAAAACGAACAGATGAGTATCGTATTATTTAATTAAAAATACAATTTTACTTTCTCGCATATTGCTTATTTTTCGCACCAAATGTTCTACGATTTCAAACGCGGTTTACAAAAAATAACTTGAGAAAAGAGAAATTGTGGTATAAGTAGTATTACATAACCATTACCAATTGTGAGAAAAGACGAGCAATTTTAGCCCCACTACATTTAGCGATTTGTTCTGATAAGAAGGAATTACGTAAAGTTTAGAACATCACAAATTAGAGACCGATAATAAACATAACAGAATTGGTTGGTTATTTGTTTGACCTAATACCGTCTTATGCAGTAAAATTGTGGTTTTTCGAAGTTAATTTATATTTTCTTCACTAACGATAAAGACAATGTGTGACACTGGGACTGACATAATTTTGAAAAGCTATGATATTCGAGGCAAAAAATTTGCATAAATGAGTATACCACGAATAAATTAATCCAAGACCCTCTCTTCTTTGCAGAATGGCGGAGTGGCTAGGCGCGCCGCTCCCAGATTGGCTTCTTTTAGGCTTGAGGATATTTTACATGGAGCGAATCTACAACATGGGGCAAGCCGTAGTCACTTCCCCTCCGAAGGAACGGAAGAATATTAATAAACACTACGCCCTATCTCCTTTGCAGAATGGTGGGGTGGCCAGGAGCGTCGCTCTCCGATTGGCTTCTATGAGGCTTGAGGATATTTTACATGAAATAAATCTACACCTTGGGGCAGCCGTATTTACTTCCCCTCTGAAGGAAGGGCAGAATATGAATAAACTATCTCTTCGCCGTATCTCCTTTGCAGAATGGCGGGGTGGTGGGGCGCACTGCCCTTAGATTGGCTGCTGCTGGGCGCCGGGGCGCTGCTGGTGGTCTACTTGCTGCGCCGCCGGAGCCGCCGCGACGTGTTCGCCCAGCGCGGGGTGGCCTCCGCGCCCAACCCGCTGCCCTTCTTCGGCAACACCGTCAAGAGCTTCAGCGGCCGCAACTCCTTCTCGGACCAGGTCCTCCGCCTGTACGGCGAGGCGCGCGGCCACCGCGTCTTCGGCTTCCTGCAGTTCCAGACGCCTCTCTTCCTCGTGCGCGACCTCGACGTGCTCAAGGCCGTCATGATCAAGGACTTCGACCACTTCACCAACCGGATGCCAATCGCCACACAGGAGACAGACCCCTTCTTCAGCCAAAGTCTCTTCAACCTCTCAGGTAATTGTCTTCTTAACCAGGAATATCCAAAGGAAAATGTGTCATTAGGACAGTCAAGAATATCTAAACTGGAACCTGTACAAGCCGGAATTCTGCCTTATCAGGAAAATTTCTCCGGACCGTGAAAATAAAAGTCATTTTATATAGCATAAAACGGAATCTGTCCAACATGAAAACGGAACGGTTTTTCGTGTCCTACAGGGGGAAATCCTCCATAAAGCGGAATTCCTGTGAATTGGCAGAGACGCAAGATATTCTTATTCAAAAGAATGCATCTGTAAAACTTTCTTTAATTTTCTATTCTAGTGACACGAGAGTTAGTCGTGGCTTCTTCACGGAGGAGACGGCTCAGGCTTTCAGCGTAGAATTCGACCTTTGGGTGGCTTGTCTGGCATGGCGCATAGGCCATACGGGAAATCTTTCCCTCTTAACTTTCTGAGACTGGGAAGGTGTACGGGCAAGTCTTCTTTCACGCATCTTCCTTCTCGCGTTGAAAATTATAGCCCCTCGGTCTGAAACACACGGCCATGCGAGGGTATCAGAAAGTCACAGTACTCTGAGCTGTGACGCAGTTTGCGTTGAAAGAGTCAGCAAGTAGTCCGACTGCAGTCACTAGGCCATGAAGTAGTGTGTTTTGTTTTGAATTTTACAACCAGTTTAACACTGGTTAAAATTCTAACCTTTAATGAAAAGGTCAAACTTTAGAAGCAATAGAACCCAGAAGCTGTCATCAAAGAATGTTTGTTATACTATTATCGGTGATTTCCATCCACCAATAAATAACTATAAATACGTTATATATTAATGCTAATTATAATTAATACATGTAATAATCATAATACTGTACTGAAACTAAAAGGCCATAAGTGTCTTAAAAATAGACATCCCTGCATAAATGGAAACTTCAGTAAACCGGATTTTTGTTTGGTCCCGATCGATTTCGGCTTAGATGTTACTGTAAATGATTCAAGCTACATTCGCTGATTTCCTATCTATTTAAATGAAAATACATCGATCCATACCATGCATTATATTAAACCTTCACTTTTTGACCTTCAATTTGAAATATTTATTTTATAATATTTGACTAGGTGCCGTTTATCAGAAGGTTTTAGAAAATGAATTATTTTTCTAAATAAAAGTCGATTACGAAACACACACATTGTCTTCGTCAGTAGTCTCAGAATAAACTTAGAAATCGACATCAACTTAGAAATCAATATCTGAGGATTCGCAATACTGATCAACGTAATCTTTACACATGATAATGCTGCATACAATATCAATTGCTCACATAAAAGCGATTTAGAGCACATCGCTGTGCATCGACGAAACTGCGCGCAAAATACTATACGTCAGAGCTAAATACAGAAATATGGCTAATACTAAGAATGCCCGCTTAAATTGCTAATGATCCAAATCATGTGGATATAAATCTATGAATGATGAACGAATCTTTTGGTTCTCAACAGGCTAATGTGCGTATCACCCAGGAGGCGCTGGCTGATGTAAGGTAATTGTACGTGTGGGGCGCGTCTTGTAACAAGCATTTTGCCGCAACTATAATTTTGGCATAACAATGCGTTGGAAATCACGAGTAACACGGCAATTAGCATTATTTTATGTTAATAGCGGAGGCCTCACGATGAAGACTCCTTGCTCACTTGAAATTAAACTCTCATCTCTCAACTCTGGAGAGGTAAGGGTAAGTTTCGTAGCATAATGTAAATAGAAAAGTTGCATTATTCATCTATGTGGCTAGACCGAAGGCTATAAGCCATTACAATACCTACATCCTACCGCGTTCTAATCTTTCAAATTCTGGCATTCACCCCAAATGGTCTCTCCATCGCATCAATGCTGCGAAAAGAGACCATAAGGTATGGTTGAAGAAAACACCCCTAAAAGGTAAAAAGCCTACCATCAGAAGACGAATACATGGTAACCTTCCAAACTTTCTCTAAACTATTTACTTCCTGTCGTGGACGTTTATTTTCTGTAGTGGAAAAATATGGTGCGAACTGCCTCACAGCGGCCCATTTTGGATTGCGAGAGATGATGTGACTGAAAAGGATTGGGAAGTCATGACCGCGCGCCGTGGGTCGTTTTATTAGGTGCTGCTCCGCGATTCGCGTACAAGGGGTCAGGAAACCCAAACGGAAAACCGCAGCTCACAGCTGGCATCCTTCAGTTGGATTGCAGCCGGTGCCGCAAATGGCCTAACAGTCAACACCTCAAGCGCATTTCGGAGTCGAATCCGTGATCTCCCTGTCAGTCAGCACGCTCGTTCGTTCGTAACATGCATTTACACCTACCGCTATTGAGATACTGGAAAGCACCAAATATTTTCCTAATTTGTTACAAAATGTGATAAAAGGATTAGAGCTCGGTAGTTTGGCAATATGCCTTTTTGCTATGGATACCATTTCATGACTTTCGACAATAGGAATATTGAATTATTGTGCTTCTGGAGTTATTTTAGTACCCTTCCATATTGCTTTTTGGCTCTCTTAGCTTCCGATGCCTATTTTGCCATTTTGTCTTATTTGGCCCTTTTCTGCCTATTACGTCATTATTTTGCTCTTCTCTCCTCTCACCGATCTCATTCAAGCTGGATATACACCTACAAGTAAAGACAACATGAAGGCACGGTCGTATTTTGTCTTTCTGTGGAAGCAGTGGCACTGTTAAAAATCAAAAGGGAAAAGGAAGAGGGTACCAGTCAATACTTATTTCTCAATGATGCGACACCCTTTGTTCACGCACGAGGACTCCAATCCTACTCTGAACATGGCCTCCACGTATGATACATCGCTCTAAGTGCTCACGGTTACACAGGTGTGAAGAACGGAAAATAAATTTCGTTTTCAGTATTGCCATTTCAAAATTCAAAAAGGAGTTCACAAAATCATTTCATAGAGAGCGCGCCGCGAATAAAATAAATTCATTGCCATTATGCCGTACGGTCATGTGGAATTAAGATTACCAAAAAAGATCGTTCCTTTACTTGTTAAGTGATAATATAAGTTTTAGAGTTAGAATAAAAATGTGAATAATTTTAGTTACTGATTTTTTACATGTGTTTTCCATTTAAATATGTGAGTATTCAAGTGTGATTATTTGTTGTCTACATGTCTTTTTGCAAAATAGTAAATTGTAAATTGCACTCCAACTTTAGCTACAATAAATTCCTTTTTCAAGCGATTTTAATACAAATAAATGTCTTTTTGCAATTTTAGATCAAATAATTGCCTTAACTTCCGGGCTCTAGACTTGGCATTTGTGAACTCTGGGGAAACCGTTTGTAATCACGTCATCACTCCATCATTCATTTTATACAAACGGGAAAATTCATATTATATACATTAGAGTTATATAAGCGTAGTTCATCGGAAAAATGTATTCTTCATACTTCACGCTACAAATTATGTGATTTTGAATTAGAACGTTTTCGCCGACATTTTACTCAAAATGTGGGCAATGCATCTCTATACTATTACTACATTTACTCAGATGATTTTTTCTTTCCACTCACATGGATATTTTCAGACCAGCGCTGGAAGGATATGCGCACCACCCTCAGTCCAGCCTTCACCACCAGCAAAATAAAACGAATGTTCCTGATTATCAGCGACTGCACGTCGCAGACGGTTCAGCACTTACGGGAAGAACATGAAGCTCTGACGAAGAACGGTTAGTCAATGAACAATCATGACAACACGTAAGGAGTTTTTCCTTCCTTTATGTCATATTTGCTTTAATACAGGTCAAAAGCAGCCTCTAGAAGTGGATATGAAAAACCTGTTCACTCGTCTGGCCAATGATGTGATAGCAACTGTGGCGTTTGGAGTAAATTGTGACTCGCAAAAGGAAGCAAATAATGAATTTTACTTAATGGGCAAGGAATTGACAACATTCAAGTTTTGGGGTACATTGAAGTTTATGGTTCATTTAATTTCTCCAAAAATCGCACAGGTAAGTGAAATGCAGCATAGAGCAACCATACCATACAATACAATACAATAGAATACAAGCTGGGACACGGCTGGCATGGCATTGCCATGGCTGGCAATACAACAAGCCGGGACCGATTTAGTTGGCTCAGAGCATCAACTGATGTCACTGTAGTGCCTCTGTCCTGGAGGTCCTACGTTCGAGCCCCGACGGTGGCAAGATGTTAGACACTAGCTACGTGTAGTTCAGTCCCTGTCTGGGGGAGAGTCCTTGTGGCGCTGCTCTGATCAGCAGGTTTCTGTGATTTCTCCGATCAACACAAGGCGAATGTCGGAACATTTCCAAAATAAATTCTTCCACGTTATTTGCTCCCTATGTTGTCCTGTCCTCACCCTTCACTTAAACACACTTACACTCTCGTGTAACACACTATCACATATGTCGGGAGACCAGTCGGGAGCTTAGAGCTTGCCCTGGCTGGTGGCGGTACAACGCTGGTGGAAGATATATACATGAGGAAAACCCCGCTAACCAAGGTAGATAGGCGCCAAATTTTGCCATCCAGAGGCGGAAGATCACTGTTACCTCTCGCGATAAAAACATGAACTCGAGGAGGACCCACTGATAAGAGTACACTAAGTTAGTTATGAGTGCAAAAGGCAGTAATGTAAACCCTATTCAAAATTTTGATTTGTTTTCATTGATCATATTTTGCAAAAAAATGTAGCCCAAATATTATATTAAATATTGTTCAATGTTTCTATTATTGCCTACTTATCTAACGAATATATAAGGATATAGAAAAAACTATTATTTAAATGCTATTTAGAATACTTTTCATAATTTCTATTCAGCAAAAATTTCGCATTTTCCCGTCATTCAAAAAAGTGTTCAAAATGGCCTCATCTTCTTTGAACGCAAGAAGAGCATTTGCGCCGCACGGCCTGTGTGGCGCGCAAAACGTTGCCGGGCTGTGCGTTTATTTCTTCCGCCTCGCTTTCAATGCGCCGAAGGTCATCACGGTCCTCCACTTCGGTAGCAAAAACGCGGTCTTTCATTAACCCCCAGCTCCAAAAGCGTTGGGAGACCCTGAGCCATAAAATTCAGATTCAGAAATTCAGATAACGCCTCTTGAACGCTCGTGTAAGAAATGAGAACCGAGGATAAATTCATTCACAATGCCAACCGACACATTTACAGAACATTGCTCACGATGAGCTACACTACGGATTGCGGATTTTCCTCGGCCCTCGCATGCAGATTGTACGCATTAATAGTGCCAGTTCTTAACCCTCTTCATCTGGCCCAGTAAAACCCTCTTCATCTGGCCAAAGAACGAAGTTCCTGGTTTTCTTTGCTTTTGCGCAGTAAATGACTGGATAACTGAAAACGTTTTAAGTCTCTACTGCGCAAATGCTGCACTCGCTAGAAATGGGTAAGTCGAAATCCCTCCGCACGAACTGTTCGTCAGACGAGAGGAGACGAGAATGTGATGTCTCGCATTCCGCGCTATTTGCCTTGTGCTCGCTTCTCCGACTTCTCCCCTAGCAGTAGGCACTGAGTTTTCCAGAGAAGTGGCGAGGCCTAACGCGAGGAGAAAGACGCTGGCTCCCCCGCCATAGCCCGTGTTACACGAGCACAAGCGCGCTGTTCAAAGTTTAACGTTAGTTATTTACAAAACGTAAGGACGAAGAGTATCCAATTTTGGTAAATTCAGTCTGTACATTACATATGGGATAATGTCCCGGCGTATTAGCAACGAGGACTTTATCATCCTGTACATCACAGGAAGGTATGGATGGATCTACACTCATAATTTAAAACTGGATGACATCCTCAAACATGTGAACACTAAACTACGAATAAGATTTCTCATAGAATATAAAAAACAAAAAAATGCACAAATTCAGAAGTCAGGGAGGGTATTTAAAACCATTTTCATCAAAGGACCTTGGATCTAAAAGATCTCAATTCGGCGCTTTGCTGTGTCCGAAATATATCCTGTTCCCTGCGAGTTCGTAATAGAAACGCCCACTCGAGATGTACATGTGATCGTTATTTACGGCAAAGAGTGTTAAGGTAGCCCTTACAACCATTAGCAATTCATTATGCCAAAGAGCTTCATCTTTTGGACACAGTGGCCCAGGAAAATTAATCATGATTTCAGCGTCACACTTAATTTTTATTTTAAACTTTTAATAATATTATATAATTAAATTCAGAAAACACTTCTCTATGTTGTATTGGAAAAAATATAATTTATATTCCAGAACCTTATATTCCTTTTACAAAAAGATAATTATTTCAAGAGACTCCTATTTTTTTAAATTTTTGTCTCTCTATGTTAAGTAGCCCTAAAGTGTCTTGTTCTAATGACAATTATTACCAGCGTAAAAACATGGTCACATTTTGTTTTAATCCCCAATACCTCCTCAAAATGGAAAGTATTTGCTATCTGTCTGAAATTACTAGTTATTTACATGCATGGCATGTTGTCAATCATGCCGTTCGGGGGAGGTCAAATACTACATTACGCAGAAGATATGTTTGGCCGTGAATTTTTAAGTATCTTTTTCCTAAGGTATTGGGACTACGGGTATTCGGCAAAAAAGCAACGACTTACTTCGATTCGCTGGTACAAGATACCATCAAGGAGCGTCAGCAGAAGGGCATCTTCCGACCCGATGTTCTGCAGCTGTTGATGCAGGCGCGCGAAGGGCAGCTCAAGGCGGAAGCTGGAGACGAGCAGGAGACTGAGAAATTCGACACAAAATACAGTGAGTTCATTGTTTTTCAATTCAAGCTAAAATTGTATAAGCAGTTTTGATTATACAAAAAAGCAATAAAATTTGGTTCTAAATAGCATTTCAAGAGCAGTCAAATAACATCTGGACACAATAAACATGAGGACTACTAGACTGCTAGTAATATTAAACGGGTTAACATATTTCATAAATCACGAACACTTCATGTAGTTACTATTAAAGAGGCACAAAAATTAGAAGATTTTGTCACAAAAGCACAGATGACCTTTAAGGAACACTTCATTATTGTTATTATTTATATCTTTTTACGTGTACAATTTCCTTTATACAACCACGCATTTACTATGGAATTATTAATTTACAGTATTTCTTTTTCAGACCGCAAACGTATTCTAGAGCGCCATTAGACATTTCAATTTAAAGCGGGGAGGGGGGTCAAACCTGGTATGATAAATGTAATATGATAATCAACTGTAGACATTTCTGAATATAAAGGTAGTTTTACTAATAACGAAATCGATGTAATACTTCAACAAATGTTAATAATTTTCGAATTACGAATACTTGTGGCGCAATCATTTGACTCTTGTTTACATAATTTTGTTCTACTAAAACGGTCTCTATATTCGCACAATGTTCTGGGGAGGAGTTACCTGCTTTATTTTTTCCTAGCCTCATTACACCTTTATTTATTTAATGCAGTAAAGAGTAAAAAATGGACTGTACGGTAGAAGAGTGTTAGAAAATCTTTCAGAATTTGTCCCTGAGCAAACCAAGCGATCGATTGCTCACAATTGTGAAGTGCTTCTACGTATCTACTCTTTTCAGGTTATCCATCTAGATATTCTTGATTCATTCAGAAAATTCATTGTGTAACTGATTAGTGAAAAGCGGCCATAAAATGGATCTTTTCTCGTACCCAAATGTCACATGCGGTATCTTAAAATTTCGACGTAATAGTTATTTAAGAGCGCTAAGATTTGTTTGCCACGAGAGAAACTTCCAAAACATAGCGCCCGAGGGGTTGAAAGGCGTCTGAACGTCCAAAACATCTAGTAACGCCTCTGGTGCATGCAAAACTTTATGGTTTACTAGTGCGTTGATGAATAAAAAGAGAATTCCAAACATTTTATAACTTTTCTTACGTCTCAAGTGAAAAGACGCATTGTATTCGTCATTTTCCATTATGACGTCAGATAAACAAAACAGAATGTGTTTGTTTGTATAAAATAATTACCGGATGATTTGTTCGTACATAATGAAAGAGTATTGTGAAGTTTCTGCGTAAATTCTCGCAGAAGCTAACAACGCTACGGGTTTCTAGTAAAATCTCTAGAAATACATGAAAATGATTATGCTGCACTTGAGGGTTACATGGAAAATAATAAATTGCGCTGATGAAATGGTACTTTTAGGTCATTTGATACCGCCAAATTGTTTTAAGAATATTTCATATCTTCCCAAAATAACATTATGACGATATCAGCTGATGTGCCTCACCCATCTTTTACTACTAGAACTTCTTCTCAAGAAACACACATATCTCTAAAAAGGGCGATACGTAACAGTGAAATATGAGTGAATGATGGCAATTAAAAATTCACGGGAACATTCCAAAATTGCAATTTTCATATCAATCAAGCAACATATGGTTTACAACGAGTTAATTTTCTTATTTGAGAGTTTTGCCATTAATTTATTGTATTTGCTGGTATCCTAACTTTAATAAATCGAATTCATAACAATGTGTGTGTGTTGTGTTGGTTTCTAGAGCAGGCCAAAAAGTATTCATAAGCCCCGAGGACATAAAGAATCAGAAAGCCGCAAGGGTATTATAACAATACCGTTACGTGTTTTGTTTCAAGTCCGTAAACATACAACAATGAACTAGTAAAGTATAAAAGAAATTCATTGACTGAGGAAAACAGGACAAATAGTTCGGCAGTTTCTCGACCTGTGGGTGAGCGTGTGAGTTTGATTGAATTGCAGAGCTGACGGACACCGACATCTCAGCGCAATCGATCGGATTCTTCTTCGCGGGCTTCGAGACGGTGTCGACGGCGCTGTGCTACACGACGTATGCTCTGTCGCGCCACCCGGACGCTCAGCTGCGCCTGCAGGAGGAGATAGACGTCGTGTTGAGGGAGACGGGAGGCAAGCTTACCTACGACGCCATCCAGGGCATGAAGTACCTGGACGCCGTCATCAACGGTAAGTTGCCTCGTGTAGTAATTCCAAAAAGCGCACCTACTAGGCCATCCAGGGCCCGTCGTTCATAGACGCCGACATCAACTGAGTTGCCTCGTACAGTAGTGTACAAAGGCCCACCTCTCCAGCTCAAAGTGTATCGATGCTGGAATCATCTCTCAGTCGCACTGTAATTTACGCAAGGTAGTAATTCATTAATTTGCAAAAAACAATACGATATATTAATTCTCTTAATTACAGATAGATACAATTATCAAATGTGTGTCAAACATATCTTGAATATAATAATGAACCGGTGCCATTGCCGAAATATATCAACCAATTGTTCTCTAGAACGATTTAATTCTGTTCTCTTTGAAAACGCATGACTGGCTGTGTTATTGGAAAATGGAGAAACATTTCTTTCTCAGCATTTCCCAATTGAAAAGACAGATTAAATATTTATAGCAGAGTACAAAACGTAAGGGAGAATAAACAGTCTAGTAACAGTTTTATCTGTAAATTCATATGACAATAAAAATTGTCCCCCCTCCCAAAAAACGACTTTCGTGTACGAGAAAAAGTATGCGCATTCGAAGGTGATATTTAGTCCAATTTTCTCCAAGCTTCTTGTTTTTCCGATAAAATTAGATCAGCGAATTTTCATAAAATTCAACATATAGTATCAAGTATTTTTACACGTTCGCATTTTTTGCGTGTTGATGCTATATTGCTCCGATGATTGGATGATCATTTGAAGAAACTTCGACGAAAGAAGTTTTGAGCAACACCATGCTGAGTTCTCGTCAGACGAGAAAATTCTTAAAAGACGGCACATAATTCACGAGATTAACCTTTGTCGTAAGAATCATTAAGTACAGAAGACATTGTCATGGTTACCTCTGTCTGCACGAAAATAAACGTTCTCCTTACGAATTTCACACTTTTTTTGCACGCTGGTTTTGTCGCGTTTCAAAGCACTGGTTCATGGAGACGACATGATAATTGCTTGCCGCCAACTTTCAATGAGCCCAGTACGCGTATTGCATAGCTTTTCTACATAATTGCTACAAAACTGCTCGCGGCTCCTGATTCTCAAACAATGCGATCTCGTCGCTTCTTAAGTGAAAACATTCGAATCTGGTAAAATTACTACAATGTTCAAAGCTTTCGTCGACGGCCGCTCAAGAGGTAGTGTGATCTACCTGTAACTTTTAGAAGTAATTGAAGGTCCATGCCAAACAGCTTCATATAAAATGAATTGTTTTACAACTTGTGGGAGAATTTGCTGATTTTTTGCGCAAAATTAAATCTCCAAGGCGCAAAGTTTGAGATATATCATCTTTTCTTCTAAAAGAGCTTCAAAGCAAAGTCAACTGAATGAGTTCTAAGCGTGGCACCGAATTTGAATTAATTTGGCCGCCTATGCCAACTACCAGCTAATGTACCGTGCGCCAACCGATACATTTTTAGAGGTGCTATTTTTGTGAGCGCAGTCGAAAGTAAAGATAGATTCGCGAAAAACATAGTATGTTACAGGGACATTAGCTGAATAACCGAACTATACTCCGTGAAGTCACAGACGTTAAGCAACTCAAGACACCACAGATACCAGAAGGGGTGACGTCTGGGAATAGAGCTTACTAAGCGCTGAGCTCCTGGCCGAAGGGATAAATGGCATTGACTGAGTGCGACGTCAGGAGACGAGAGAAACAGGAAACGACGAGTTACTCCAAATTTACTCTCAGATATGCTCGATACCCGAACAAAGCGAAGAATTGTGATGAGAAAATATCACTACTAAAGAGAATTTGTATACGAAAAAAGCATCTGAAAATTACAAAATCACGTTGCACGGCGAAGGTAAACAGATAGCCCACAATGATCGAATACATCAAATAATCACCGCTGTTCTTTCATCAAGCTTTCAACTAAATTCTCAATAAGTCGACTTTTAATCAATATCCATGTGAATAATTTTAATGTAAGTTATGAAGTATATTTTTTGTGAATTCTAGCAAAATTCTACATAAATTGTTTTATATGTGCACTTTGTCTATTTGGCGTAATGACACGAAATAAGAGAGAAGGGAATAATAAAAAAATAACAGAGTACCACAGTATCCACATAAGTTATCCAACGCTCGTGAAATTAATTGGAATAATAACATCCATTTCTCCTTTCTATTTACTTTGCGTGAATGAGTGTCGAAATTATCCCTCTCATGTTTGAACCAACGATTCGTTCACGAAGAATATAAAGCGTTGAAAAATGTTCTATTTCAGAATCGCTGCGCCTGTTCCCGCCGGTGCAGGCCGTGAACCGCGTGTGCCGCGAGGACCTCGTGATCCCGGCCACCGAATCGTCTGCCACCGTCCGATTCTGCAAGGGAGACGCCGTGTTCCTGCCCATCATGGGACTTCACCGAGACCCCGACCATTTCCCAGACCCCGACGCCTTCGACCCCGAGCGCTTCAGCGACGAGAACAAGCACAACATCAAGCCCTGCACCTACATGCCCTTTGGGATGGGGCCCCGGTTCTGTATAGGTATGTTCGAACAATTACACTGGACGCGCGCCTCGTTCTGTCAATACTTTACGAGCAAATCATTCGACTCAGTATTTGGGATCGTTATGAATATAAGTATAAACTATTAATACGAGTACGTACGTAGTCTACTCTATCAAAAGTACCAATTGTACTAATTTCTAATTTTATTTACTTTTCGGTGTTTTAAGTCCCCCATCAATTATTATTTTTAATGTCATTGAGAATGAGACCGGGCAACATTCGCCCTTTATTTGTTTATATTGGTTCGTGAGGTTCTCACTTAAGGTTAATTAACTTGTCTGTTTCTGTACACTCAGCAGCTCACATACAAGCTACATATTTCAGGCTCTCCTTTTTATCTTTTTTCTTGGTTATCTCCTTCTTATCTTATCTCAATTTGCGTGGTTGTCTTTTATGTGTATATTATATTAATGTTTCCATTTTCAACTCAATCTGAATATATAATAATTAATAAAATAAATTATGATATTCACTAACGTAGTTTTGTAGAACGCATTTCTCGATTTCAGAGATGACAATTTGAAAGCTTTTTCCTGTAGGAATAGAATCTGGTATCAACAAACTTAATAGATAAGCAATCCATCTTAGTAAAATGTACACATTGAACAAATATTACACGACGAATTACTAAGTTTTCAGTGGACATGAAAAGAGCCTGATGTTTCTTTTCTTTTACAGCTCAGCGGTTAGCAATCTTGGAAATGAAGGTGACACTGGCCAACGTCCTGGCTCACTTCCATATCCGCCCGTCGCCGAAGACCATTGAGCCAACGCAGTTCGAGAACGGGTTCACAAATTCCATTCGCGGGGGATTCTGGAACTTAATCGTCCCACGTGAAGTGCCATCGTAGGAATTTGGCAAGAAACAAGAGGTCAAGTGCACAAACATGCCTTAATACAGTGTAACCTTGGTTTTTGTGAGAGAAAATTCTGACGAAAAATAAATGAACGAAAATTGGTACAAAATTTCACATACGAAATTATGAAATACTGTTCCCAACCCAGTTCTAGACATCCAAAAATATTAATAAAAAATTACACCATCTTTTTTTAATCTTCTTTTTGAAAGAGTTTTTACACGGTTCCTTTTTTTTCGACCTCATGGGCGCTGATACATCCGTCACACTTGATAAACAAGAACAATAATCCCTGAATTATTACGAAATAATCGGATGAAACTTATCTGGTGACACTCGTGCGAGAAACCAAAGCAGGCTTGGTGACGACGCGAAGGAACGTAGGCGCTTCATTCCGGGAAATTGGAGGCTGACTTCAGTTAACAGGTGAACGAGTTTGATACGGAGCATTTTCAACAGAGAGAAACAGCATTTTGGGATTTTCATGCTATTCTAATACATATCAAAGAAAAAACTTGTACTGTCATATTATTGGCCTCATTTTATTTATTGACAGTCTTATTAGAATTTAATCAATATTGATTGATTAATATCTACCATGCGATTATAATTCGGATCAACAGTGCGTAGTGTAATAGGAATGTCAATAAAAGAGACCAATATAATATTATGAATACAACAGCATACATTCTCACATCCTCTTAGTTTTCGAAAATTCAGAGAGTTCGAAGGAAATTAGAGCTGCGCCGTTTTTAAGCATCCTTGGAAAACCTTTGAATCCGAGGAAAACATGCACCGCGGATGTGCATTGCGGGCAATGGAGATTAATGTGTGTAAATAGTTTATGCACACGCTATCATTGATTTTCTAAAGTTATGATTGTCTTATTTTATTTTTGTAACTGTTCAATGAAAAGCATTATTTTCTATCAAGAGAAAATCGAAGTTTGTTTTGTTTTATCCTTCGGTGTACAAATGTACGAAGTTTTAAGTTGACTAACAGTAAATAATAATCATATCTCTCTCTCCTTCCCTTCCCTTCCCTTCCCTCTCCCCTTCCCACTCCTCTAATTTTAATATCAAAATTCTTAAACGTTGCTAAATTAATTTAGCTAAACTATGACTACTGAAGGCACAATTTACACAAACACACCGCAATGTCGCGGGTAGATATTTCTTTCAAGATGCTTAATTTTTGCTTCCTATTCTCAAATTATGAAAACAAATCTTTGAATTTTAAACAAGACCGTCCCTTGATAAATAATTAAGTTTCACTTAGGCATCTCTGCACGCAATAGAACTAATGTCACTAGCCAAGAAATCTAATTTCATCACATGGAATGTATAGTCATTCTGACATTCATCTCACACGAAATCTAACATAATTCTAACGCCAGTCCCTAATGAAATCTAATATTATTCTGATCTAAAAGACGCAAAAATCTAACTTGAAAGCGTTCTTTTATTCTTAATATTTTGTAACTAATTTCGTCTTTGGACATTTTTAACCTACTGAAAGAGTCATCTCTCTCTTTTCTTGTTCTTATAAAGGAGAAAAACGTGACATAATTGGCTGTCGTATTTTTTCTTTGGATTATACCTCAAATGGGTCAAAACGAAATATTAAAATTTTATTTTGTGCAATGTAGTTCGCCCCTTACTACGAATTCTAAACAATATTCTTGGTTCTTAACGTTGAAAATATTATGTCCACTTCAACCTAGACTACCTGCAAGTGCTGCAATTCAAGTAATATTCACGTTTTATTATGACTAATGCAGCAAGTGGCTGCTATACTGTTTGGGATTGAAGACCAGGGCCGACGCTTCCTACACACTTTTTCTTTTACTGAACCTGAATACATTAATTCAGCGTTTGGGCGTGGACAGCTGGAATTGTTTTGATCTGTATAGCTGACACACGCCTGTGTAATCAGATCCCTCTCCCCCGGCCCCTCCGATTGATGCGCAGTGCGAGTGAGATAACTAAATTTTCGGGGGGGGGAGAAGCGAATGATGGTGGAAATCACCCCTCCTCGTGCATGCGCATTCGAAGGGAGATTTCTAAATTGTTCTGCTAGTTTCCGAGGCGGTTTTTCCAAGTTTGAAGCACAACTTCACGCCGTACCGCTGCTCGAGATTCCGTTGCACGCTGAGTGTGACGGCCCTTCTTTACAGTGGCTCGCGGGAAACAGCGTATTCTCACTCCGAAGGCACGCAGGCTACTGTGAAGGGTCGTTTTCCGTTCCTGAGGGTCCCGCCATCACGCCAAGCCAGTCGCACTCCCCTCTTTCGCCTGGCCTTCAGAAAATCAGTCCTACTACTTTTTGAACGCACCTTCTATGCACTGTGGCGCCACACCAATGCCTAATCTTTTTAAACTAGTGTGTAGAACACAGTTTATTTTTAACATATGATGCGCATGATTACGTACTTGTTAATATAGCCCTTGAAGGATGTGCTCGTCAACATTAGCCAAAAATGTTCCAAAAAAAATAACCCGACCACTGAAGTACGCAGAGCGTAAGATCATTCAACGCTTAGTAATTTTTTAACTGGTAAGATTACAGTTTACTTTTGACATATTATGTCAATACGTACTGTTTGTTGATATAGCTTCCGAATTAACTGCTAGATAAAAATTAACTGCTAGGTAAAAATTAACTGCTAGATAAAAAATATCTAACTTTAGATAAAAATGTTCCAATTTTAACCTACTTTTTTTTACCTTTATCTAATGGTCTGAGGGTTGAGAGGTGAGAGTAAATAATATTAGTAATTTTTCTTACCCTATAATTCGAGAAGTAGTATTTTTGTTGTATCTTTTATTTTTGATTTCGTGTCATATTCTAAAGCTTGCTGAACGTTTGAGAAAACTATAAAAGTCTAAAATTAGATGAATTGAATTAGCCTAAAATAATGATCTAGTTTGCTGTGTGTTCTGCTATAGTGTGTCATCCAGCATTACGGAAATCCGTCCTTTTAGTATTAGTCAATAATTGTACACATTAACGAATAATATAAAATGTAATTAAATACTGTTGAAAGTCCCCATGAAGCGGGGCCCTAAGAACGTGCTGAGTGCGGTCATGTATTAATCCACCACTGCTCGCAGTTAGGATGTGTTGAGGGCAGGACAGAGCGACGCGATGCAGGCCCGGCGGCGATGAATTAGGTCGTATCTCCGGTGACGTCACCCCATGAGGCGCATGGTGGGGGATCTGATGTTTCTATTACAGCATCCGGGTCCCGTCCGCACAGACCTCTCAAAGAACTTGCCTTTCTGTCTGGCCAATTTTCACACTTTGAAGCGAGTTATATGGCCACATTTGCGAGTGAACGAAGACGAAAGTGAGATAAAGTTAATACCGCACAGAGGTGAGTGAACATTTATTTTTGAAAATGGGTTTGTCTGCTCTACTGTCTAGAGTTCATCTTGTTAGTAAGCAATTTTTTGGGGCCTTGGGTGGCATTCAATGTAATCAAAACGGCCTTTAGCCCTGGGACATTTTGTCGCCGCTCAATAATTAGAACTAGTTAATACCCGTGATACATACATAATTTTATTTTCTATCTAATTTTATTGATTACTAATTAACTAGATGATAACCTGACTTGGTTTGTCATTTCATATTTCCCTCTCCCATAATTTCCTCTCTTAATTCTCTCCATAAGGGAACATGTAGAATCATTCAACTGTTTTCATATTTCCCTCGTCCCCTTTTCATACGATCCTCTCGATCCTGGTAAGTTACACAGTGTATATGAGTTCTGTATCGAAGGCAATAACACGTTATTACGTATCAGTAGAAAAATAAATAAATTTATGAATAGCGTTATGTCAATTTCTTCAATTTTAATATCGGATTATAATTGAATTCTTCAGCACAAGCAATATGTCTTTAAATGATAATATTATAATTATGTTGAATTTATGATTTTATGTTAACGTTATTATTTGTGTAACATATTTTATAAATAAGTGTTAGGACGAGAAATGAGCAGGAACTATAATAAAAAACAGCCTATATAACAAAAGCAAATATTAAATCGCAATTTAATAAAATAAACAAAACTTAATGTGAATTTACTTTAATTTACAAATAAATGTTTTTATACGACTATTTCAAAGCAAATACACATTCGCGTTTCCATAATTTTTGTTAAGCCTCATTTTCAAAATGTTTAATATAAATAATAGATTTTAAAATGTTCATAGTCCTGAGTCACATTTTAAAATTTGGACAAAACTTGGAGACCTATTTATTTAACACTAATCTCAATGTGATGTAACTGGAGCATGCTGCCTGCTTGTCTCGAACGTTTCATCTCCTTTAAGCGTGTTCTCTTGCTCGTTTTTTTCGCTACAGTTACCATGAATACCATGTTATACCATGAAAGTTGCTTTCCTTCGTTGATTGCCTTGAAACGCTTCGTGCTACAAAAAAAAACACAAATTCAATTATTTTGAAGAAATAATAAACGGCATATGGTAGTTTGTCTTTCAAAAATATAGAATAATACCACTTACGTAATTAGACGAACAGCAACTTTCATGACACTATTTTTCGTAAAACTGAACGGCCACAATGTTACTGCTTAACGTAACCAAACAGAAAAAAGTCAGTCTTACGGATCGACGTCTGTTAAGTATTTAACAGAACAACTCTTTGTCCAAAAAATGGTATTTCTTTTTTATGATTGTTTTATACAAGAAGGTATTACAAAAAGTATTGAATAGCACAAATATCAGATCGATATTAAACAGGTTTCGTTGGTTATTTGTTGTTTATCGTCCTAATGACGTAAATACCACAACAACCACAAAATTATAGAATTCCGTGCATTTAACTTGAATTATAACACCCGAAAAGGATGGACTATATATATATATATATATATATATATATATATATATATATATATATATATATATATATATTGTTCCGGGGGACGAAAATTACAAATTAGCAAATATAATTTATATTTCTGTCAATAACGATAATTTCAATGTCATGTGAGGTTAAGAATGACAATTATGCAAAGCGAGAGGTTGAAGGAATGTCCAAAAGGCATATGGTACTCAAGGCGCAACCCAGTATCAGTCTCTCTTAGTCTCAATGCTCTTATTCGATAAATGTCACATTTAATGTTCGAATGAATCCACAAGGAGAGCCATGTATTCAAATGCTGAACTCTTAGCTCCATTGCCAGTAACTCAAACAAGAAAGTTTTAGGAATGATTGACTCTTTTATATTACGCAATGTTATTAACTTTGCGAATTTTGCAATACATTTTCTGATAAACACTAATGAGATTATAATGTCATTCCCTCTTAAAGACCATTATATGAGGACAGGAAAATACGTAGAACAAACACGACAGAACGTCTTAGTTCTTCCACTTAAACCCTTTTTTCTTGTAAAATATTGTTGCGAGATCTTACTGTAACATTTAGCTGCAAAAGGCTATGAAGTTGTGCACTGTTGAACTCTAAATCGATATTAATATCAACAATGTGTAAAGCCTTCAATGTCTGATGTTGTAGGTGACAAACAGCCATGCAATGCCGACGGATTAAACCAACAAATTAAGCAATATCCCTTCCGTTGTTCTCCTTTCCTACCGTCTTCACATCCTCTGCCCAAGTGGAGATTTTAAGCACATACGGCCCTCTGAGGAGTGTGAACAAGTCCAGAAACGTAACCTTAACTTAAACTTAACGAATATTATCGCTAGTAGAGCAAACACCATTGTATCAATACATACTTGTTTTGTGTTGTAATACTTCGGAAAGAATCCCGTATGAATTTGTTTGCCATTCGACACTTTTGAACGACAAGTTTCCATCCAATATTGACACTGTGGAATGACAAGATTCGTTCTCACAAAATGGAAGAAAATCAGTAAGGTTCGGACTTCTACGAGTAGAACACGATCGTGCTGCAATCCGTGAGCAAACAGCTACTGCAAAAATCACTAACTGTAGATGGAAAGATGTCTGAATAGGCGGTAAGGTAACATTTTAACACCAATTTACTCGATATGACTGAAATGTTTCTGATTTCAAAGGGACGATATGTGTAACGTGCGCCCCTGCCTTTCAGAATGACTGTGAATAACTTGTATCGAAAAATCTTTCTTGATGTACCCAGAATGAAATATCAAAGAGTATGTTGAAGTAAGTTTTTTGTTCTCATATATTTTTCTTCTCTTGATTATAACTTATTTCTAGAGGATTCCTTTGCGTTGTGATAAACGTTCTGATAAAAATTATATTAAATATATCTTGCAGCAATTCGCCCGAATGAATCCTTGGTTCAATTAGTTTGATATCAAACGAAACAAAATAATCGCGTTTCAGTCATATGATGAGGAAAATGTAACGGAATCCGCTTCGTGTTATTAGGGTTACACTCGTTGGTGGCACTGAGATATGTGGTTTAAGAAATGTGTACGTGAGATAGGGAGGTTTGAATAAGATCTTTGTAACAAAAGTTATAATTACCCAAGTCAATGTGTCTAAACAATTAGGATTTTGGTGAATCATTGCATGACAACGGTAGAACATTAATTCAATTTTGAGTTCAATATGGTATCTTCAAATTCCACTGCTTATTTCTACTAATTTAAATTGTAGATTTTTCAAAATACAATATTTTATGAATTTCCTGCTTTCATGCAAAAGGCAGGCTTCGAATCAAAAACAACTACTTTCTGGCCACCATGAGCCGCACAAACAACAACATGCTCGCAGTAGGCTAGTGCCAGTGACGTAGGCTATTTTGTTCTCGGCTGCGTCCCCTTCTGTGTTCACTACCCCTATGTGTGGACCCTGTTAAATCAGACGCCGCCTTATATGTCGGCTTGCGGACTCTCCCCCTCCAAGTATTTCTTCCGAGAATTTCCTCTCGAGAATACGCCTCAGACGGCAGAAGCTCTATGTTCCCGACCGGTGTCTTGAGATGTGTGGTACCGTAAAGGATGCAGGCATGTAGGCATAAAGTTAGAAGAAATGATACGGATGAGGGAGGAAAACTCGTGTGAGGCCTATAGTACATTTGTGAGAATACTGTTTTGGCGTTCTCGCAGAATTCACAGGAAAAAAAAGTGGAAACCTACCGATCAGAGATCTGGAGGCTAGAACTTTCATCCGACAGCGGGAGTATTCGACTGAGTTATCTACCTAGTGTCGAAAATCCGTTTCCGTCGGGAGTCGTACTCTAGAACCTTCTGGTTAGAAACACGGCAAGGGGTAACCGCTAATGATTTTACGAGACGAAACTCAACCCATCAGCCCTGCTCTTCCGTCTGACCACGCGAATTTCGCTACGCTCCTTTTACCATTTAGCAAAGAAAAAATATATCTCGGTCGACGAAACAGACGATTTGTATTTAGCTCAAAAGGCTACTTTTAGGCTTGCAAATCTACAACGTGGCACAGACGGATTTACTATCTATCCGAATGAAGACATACGAAGATTTTTTTCGTCCTTAAAAATCCACGGTTTCGATCAGGTTTGAACTCGCAAACGTAGATATACCAATCCGTTACACCATTAATGCATACAATGTAAGAAAATCACTTGCCTATCAAGACTCAGATCATTTAATTTGCATAAATGAGTGTCATATGAATAAACCAACTCAACGCCCTATCTCCTTCGCAGAATGGCGGGGTGGATGGGCGCACCGTACTTCGATTAGCTTCTTTTAGGCTTGAGGATATTTTACATGAAGTGAATCTACAACATGGGGCAGCCGTATTTACTTCCCCTCCGAAGGAAGGGCAGAATATGAATAAACACTACGCCCTGTCTCCTTTGCAGAATGGTAGGGTGGCCAAGCGCCATGCTCTCCATTGGCTTCTTTTAGGCTTGAGGATTACATGAAGTAAATCTACAACTTGGGGCAGCCGTATTTACTTCCCCTCTGAAGGAAGGGCAGAATATGAATAAACTATCTCTTCGCCGTATCTCCTTTGCAGAATGGCGGGGTGGTGGGGCGCGCCACCCTCCGATTGGCTGCTGCTGGGCGCCGGGGCGCTGCTGGTGGTCTACTTGCTGCGCCGCCGGAGCCGCCGCGACGTGTTCGCCCAGCGCGGGGTGGCGTCCGCGCGTCGCCCGCTGCCCTTCTTCGGCAACACCTTCAGGAGCTTCTTCGGCCTCTGCTCCTTCTCAGAGTTCATCCTCCAGATGTACCGCGAAGGGCGAGGCCATCGGGTCTTCGGCTTCCGACAGTTCCAGCAGCCTTTCTTCCTCGTCCGCGACCCAGAAGTGCTCAAGTCCGCCATGGTCAAGGACTTCGACCACTTCACCAATCGGGTACCGCTCACTACTCAGAAGGCCGATCCCATCTTCAGCCAAACCCTCTTCAACCTTTCAGGTAATTTAGTCTTCAGTCTTCATAACCGGGTATATCCTTATTGGAAGATGTGTCATCAGTAAATGCAATATATATCTTAGGTGTTCCAGCTGTCTTCGTTGGTTTACTACTTATTTCTGTACAGAGGAATGGGAACGACTGCGGGCGTACTCCCTCTCGACTGTCCATTACTACTAAGGGAGACATGGAGATGACGATAATGAAAAGCGATTGATAATAAATGTTCGCGTACCGAGACATTTTTATAAGGTGCTGCTCCCCGATTTGCCTGGACGTGGTAAGAAGAGCAATGGAAACTATTGATTACAACCGTCAGCTTCGAAGTACTATTCCGGCAGACGCTAGAAATTCCCTAATGTTCCTCGAACACATCAAGCAATTAATTCTGGTTCGTTGTCAGGATCGAATCTGTTAGTCAGCACACACGATCGTCAGACGCATTAACGCTTGCTTGATGTAAACACCAACAATTACATATTTTGTTATCAAACCTCTTAAGATACAAAGCTTTGAATGACATTTCTGAACTCTGTGGAAAAACCCCATTTACAATTCCTATTTAATTCAGAAAAATAGAAATTATTCAAAGAATGTAGAGTTATATTCAGTATTAGACTAGACTTATATAACAGTGGATTATCGAAAACTGTATTCTTCTTACTTCATCCCACAAAATATGTGAATTTAAAATCGAATGCTTTCTCCGACATTTTACTCAAAAGGCGATCAATGCAGCTCTATGTATTGCTTCATTCACCTACGTGAAGCAAGCATTTTAAAATTGCGAAATTCATTATTGCTTCATTTCCGAACTTTTTTTTCAACTCACATGAATATTTTCAGACCAGCGCTGGAAGGATATGCGCACTACCCTTAGTCCAGCCTTCACCACCAGCAAAATAAAACGAATGTTTCTGATTATCAGTGACTGCACGTCGCAGACGGTTCAGCACTTACGGGAACAACATGAAGCTCTGATTAAAAACGGTTAGTCAAAGTACAATCATGAGAACGGTATACGAATTGTTTGTTGTCATATTTTCTTTCATACAGGTCAAAAGCAGCCTCTAGAAGTGGATATGAAAAATTTGTTCACTCGTCTAGCCAATGACGTGGTAGCTACTGTGGCTTTTGGAGTAAATTGTGACTCGCAGAAGGAAGCCAATAATGAATTCTACTTAATAGGCAAGGAATTGACAACATTTTCGCTTTGGCGTATATTAATGTTCATGGTTTATTTAATTGCTCCAAAAATCGCAGAGGTAAGTGAATATTGGCTAATACAAATATTTTACGTTTCGTAAATTATAGTTTCCAAAGTGAAAAAAACTTGACATACAAACCCAAATTCGAGCAGCCGGACGAAGATTTCACTACATCTTAAAGTGCGGACAGTGTGCATTGATAAATTCTTATGTGCTAGTGTTTTAATGGCATAAAATATAAATTAATCAACGCAATTTAACGTTGATTTCGAGATTCTCCGGCGTACCCCAGAAGAGCTACATCTTCATAATCTGAAAAAGGTCCTTAGTTTACTCCTTAGATAAATACATAGTGTCCCTTTAGTAAAAACCTTTAAGGTCACAGGACTTCCACTTTGTCAGTTATTAACAATGGCAACATGTGCTGAGCGTTGCATTTAATCTTGAAGATTTTTTCTTGGAATAGTTTACAAAATTATAAGCATGTTTGATGCACCCGATGCTGATTAATTGCAAATTTAGCGGTTGTACTTTTGTTGTGGTTTTTGTACAAAAAAATGTTTTATACAAACATTCGTATACAAAATAATCATCTCCGTTCGGTTTATGGCGCAATGGGACTTCAGCCAAAACACGACGACCATCCTCAAGTCAAAATGAACTTGTCCAGAAGACGAAAATATTATGCAACATAAAATAGCCACACACTAGTCACAGATAGAAGAGACACGATAGCCCAGAGTAGCTTGTGTCTGGAATGGAGAAGCTTGATGGTCAGTCGGTCATTAAGTGAGGTCCGATGGGGATGGTCAAAGAGCTGGATCTTGCGTGTCTCAGACACCGATTCTTGAAAACTAGTTGAAAGTTTCTTCAAAAGTAGGAAAAAGAACACATCTGTGTTGCAAACTTGGTTAAATGAGATAGACGGGTGGCACAAAATACACATTTATTCCATAGAGAATATAGTTTATTCAGAGGAACCGCAGGCGGTGGAACTTTGGCAGAGCGCAACAGAAGGCGACCTGAGGACGTGAACACCAGGACGAACTCGTTCTCAAGAAGGACAATGACGGAGGCCGTGTGTGTATAATGTCCGTTGTGCTCCTTTTTTTCATTTACTAGCTGACCCGGCGAACTTTGTTCCGCCTTAATGGCAATAAATAAGCAATTTTTATTAATTGGAAAAAATACAAAAAAATTAAATACCTACATTAATCATTCATAATTATTTCTGTATTTTAGTTAACATAGGTTGCCTTCACTTAGTACGCTTGTGATACACGAATTTTTTTTGTTTTATTATCAGGCGCAAAAACAACACAATTCATAATCGTGTCTTTTCCGACCCGTGAACATGGCCACTGTATAACTATGACATAGGAACAAACATGAATTGTTCTAGATTTAAACCACAAACTTTTAAGGATTGGCCTTGTGATTTGTTGATGGTCACGGCAAATGCAAGACGTATCAGGAAATTAAGTCTTTTAAATTCAAAACGACATATCGTTTGGGATCATCGGTATCCTCGGAATCGGAAGAAACTTCCTACCTTTGAATTTTTCCTATCATTATCGTTAGCGTAAATTACATTGTTTCATCAATTTCGTAACCACAAAACGCGTACCTGTTGCACAGTTTCTTGTTGGTTTATGTTTCGAAGCATGATTACCTACGAGCCAACCTTTAGCGTAAATTTGTGCGGTGGTTAGCCAGGCACGTCCAAGAGTTTAAAAATTCAATTTGGATTAGTTGGTGGCTTCATCGTCATTTGTGACGCCAGTTCAATAGCATTAGATGAATGGATTGTCCATGATTCTTGATTTTGAATTATGGTAGTGTGAGGTCATCTACATCTTTATTTCTCTAGCCGCTAAATTGCTCACTCACTCTTACATTCATTATTTGAGTTAGAAAATGAATTCTCGGAAATTACACTTTGTTGATATTCGTTCTGTGTTTGCGATGAGACAAAATTACAGAAAATTATTTTGGATGAGTGATTAATATCCGCTCTCGATTCATCGACAGGTACTTGACGCAGTAGCTCTGTATAGTCAGCAATTGCTCCGAGAAAATCTTCAGACAGATGTATATTAAGAATGTAACTCTCAAAATGGTTTTGTTTGTCAAAGTTGCAGTTTCTTCAATAGCGCCATAGAATTTGACGATTTGGGAGGCAAGCGTTTATTTGCTCCGTCGGCAGCGCTAAGATCATTGATTAACTGGCAGTATTTGGCGGAAATTCCCGCCAGACAGTTAAAATCATGCTTCCTCCAAAACATCCTCGATCATTGGCCGTCGAATACTTTTATGTTCGGTTAAAGTGTCTCTAATGCAGTGTCTTATGCGTTTTTTTTATATTATTATTTTTATTTCTTTCAAATATCAAAATTGTCATCCATTATCGTCATAGACCATATCTATCATTATATCGTCAATTACATAGCTGTCATTTGCCGTTTTGGTATCTTCCAAAGTCTGGATTCTTTTTGTGTATAACCTAGACGTGTTTATATGAGCTGTGAACGTTTCATGTCAAGTCAACGGGAATTGCAGTCTGAACGGTGGATAAAAAAGTATCCTATGTGCCGTTCTCCTGCTCTAAACTAACTCCCCTGCCCAGATCTTTCCGCAAAATGCAGTTGTTCAGCCGTTTTGAGTATAAGTGACAGTAACCTTAAACAACGACTTTTTTTATTTAATAGTATATATATACGAGTAAATCTATATATATATATCGTATATATTATATAATAATATATATATATATATTATATCTATATATAATATATCTATACTATATATATATATATATAATATATATATATATATATAGATTTACTTCTTGTTCCGCCTTGAAGCCTTATTTGAATGTAGTAGTATTTTCGTTATTACGAATGGGCATCTTTGGCTTTTGAACTTTACATCGCTGCTCCGTTTGTTCGATGTTTAATTTGGAAAGGGCTTGACTTAGTGTTTATTTAATATTTACATAAATTATTATTATTGGAATACTTTACTTTATTATGTACTTAACGGGGGCGAAATGTAGATTTTAGAAATATAGTAGATCAATGAACCATGGTCCTTTGTTGAGCTTATTTTGTTTTGGAATACTATTAAGCACTTCACAAGTTGATTTGCGCTTTTTCACTGATAAACAAAGCGAGATAAACTTCCGCCGCGTGGGCCGGCAGCCCCGTGGAGCGCGCGTAGCGCAGCTGCAACGAAGTGGCCGCTTTGGATGAATAACGACAAAGCACTTTTCTTTAGACACTCAACTATACTTGGGCGCGGCGTCCCTCGCAGGCCCAGGGCGCAGCGCCCACTAATTCGCCTTGAGCTATCTGAGCCGCGAGCGGTTGAGCCAAACGTGCACGTCGGAGACTGAGCGAAGTCCGTGGTGCAGTTGGGTCGTAGGTCCGTCCAGGATAAACTACGTAGCTGTACAAGCAGGGTCGTCTTAAGGGAAATCTTGTGGGTTAGTGTTCCGAAAGCAGAAGAGAGCACATCGTAACGTTGCCAAAATTTCATTATCACCACTAGCTCACTGCACTCTCTACACTCAACTCCTTGACTATCACACTGACTCACTATACCGTCTGTCTGTCGCAAGATCAAAGCTCCGGGTCATATTATCCTTGCTGGCCAATGAGTGATCAGCCGGAGGTTTCAGTTCACTGGTCAGCCGGCTCAACGTACGGTGCTGCGTCCTGTTTGTCACTGCCCGCAAAATAGATGCCCGGTTTAAATGACCACCGCGTTCACATTAAAAGAGATGAGATGGCCCAACCTCGACATAGATGTGGAATGTTGAATGCATTGAAGGTTGCAATAACAATGTAGGCGGCAAACTGTAAGACAATTAATATCATTATTCAATAAATAGTACAATACGAATGTTTCCGAGCGCGCAATTCTCGTGTTACAACAACCATTCCACAAGTGTCAATTTTAAGTGAACGTCATTGCCAACTGGAATGAGTACGAGGATATGTATTTCGACTATCGAGCAATGACAATATGTGACTTGACTCGAAGAATTGCATGTGCCTACATCCCGTCAGTAGTCGGAGGGTCTGAATCCAACGTATTCCAAGGAAGCAGTGACCCGACATAGTAACAAACAGCAAGCAGGCCGCAGATTCATTATAAATTGAATTCAATTGAATTGATGTCCTTTTTTACGAGGTGAGATTCGGGCTATCGGGCCCGCTCTTCCGTCTGACCTCACAAATTTGGCTACTCTCCTTTCACCCACTAGCGGAGAAAGAAGGTATCACGCGGGGGACGAAATAGGCGATTTGAATTTAGCTCAGAGGCTTCATTTAGGCTTGAGAATCTTTTATATGCAGTAAATCTAACATGGGACAGACGGTTTTACTTCCCCTCCAAAGGAAGGGTACGAAGGATTTTCGCCCTTAAAAATCCACGGCTTCGATCGAGTTTGAAACCGCGAACTTGGATATAACAGTTTCAAACGCTAACCGTCACACCACCGTCTCCGCATGAACCCCGCACTTGGGGACTCTTCACAAGGTCGTCCACGTCCTCGGCGGTCGTTACGGAGAACATAAAATCTACGGACATTGGCGGTTCATTTGTACCCATCTACGTATTAAGTCCTGAGTGGCGTCTTTCATCAAGACAACGCTCCTTTACTCAAGCGCAGCAGTGCACTGCAGCTCAGCGAAAATCAAAAAAAGTAATTTGCAACTTTGCAATTATTAACCCTGAAACACTCTCTTTAAAGACATTGAAGGTAAGATTGAAGCGCCTTTCACATTATCAGAAAGTGTGAGAAGACTGACAGAGCCCTACTGTGCGTACGCTACGTAATACTTACAACATTATCAAGATGGTGATAATATTTTGGATTAGCAATGTAATTTACTTGAAGCTGTGCGTCTTTTATAAAGAATATCAGGATGTAATAATACTAAGAACAATATTTTATTTAATAATAAGAACTTTTATATCCAAGATAGCTCCAAACACCTTGATAACAGCACTCGTATGATAATCATTAGATTATTTTAAGTGAAATTGAACTTGTTTCCTGGAACACAATATTACGAAACAACACTCAGTAGTTGCACACCTTTTATCACGGCGTTTGGATGGATTTCCTGTAGACTTTTCAAAAACGACAAAGTCATTAAATGTACTATGTGCCACAAACGAGTATGTTATATGCGTCAAGTATGTTTTATACGTTACAAAATATTTTTTTCTGTGTCAAAAAATGTGCACAACGCAGAGGGCAGTTCGTGGCCCAACACAAGCAATTTCAACACAGATCCTTGGATCAAAACACACAGAAGCCTAAATCCGTTGCCCATAGGTGCGACACACAAACCCTAGATGGAGATGTACATGTGGCCGTTATTTGCGGCTAACACGGGTAACGCACCACTCTTAAGACCACAAGCAATGCAGTATGCCACAGAGCCTCACTTTTGGAGAGAAAACAGTGGTGCTGGAAAATAAAGTCATGATTTCAGCGTTACGCTTATTTAAATTGCAATGCTGAACTTATACAGATATTTATCTTCCAGCCCCTCAGATTTCTCCTTCAAACAGAAAATTATTTCAAGTAAACCCTTATTTTTTCAATGTTTGTTCCTCTATGATAAGTAGGCCTCAGCGCCTTGTCCAAATAAAAATTATTTCCAGCATCTAAGCATGAATTTATATTTATTTTAATCCTAAACAACTCACAATGAAAAGTAATTTCTGGATTTTTTTGTTATTCATTTGGCGAATTCTTTCGTCACCTGCATGTGACGTTCAGGGCATGTTAAATATTACATTAATTGTCCAGAAGAAAATGTTCAGCCATGTACTATTAGACCTATTCTCACTAAGTTTTTGGGTCTACGGGTATTCGGCTACAAAGCAACGACTTACTTCGATTTGCTGGTACAAGATACAATCAAGGAGCGCCAGCAGAAGGGCATCTTCCGTCCCGACATGCTGCAGCTGCTCATGCAGGCGCGCGAAGGGCAGCTCAAGGCGGAAGCTGGAGACGAGCAGGAGACTGAGAAATTCGACACAAAATACAGTGAGTCAAACAATAAAAACAAATCTGGCTAACATTTTAAAATTAGTTAGTTTTTGAAAAGAAAAAAAAAATTTAACTGATTTTTTTTTCGAAATAACATTTCAAAACCAGATGGTAAAAATCCATAGTTTCATAAAATCGATCTGATAAAAAGACAAAAAAATCCGGACTACCAGAGATTTTATATTAAACGAGATAATTTGTTTCATAAATCAGGAAAATACTTCACATAGTTACTATTAAGGCGGCACAAAAATTAGAAAATTTTACTACAAAAGCAAAGATAAACAGTGAGTGATTCGTAAAGATTATTTTTATATTACTTATGTGATTTTATATGCGTAATTTCCTTTAAGAAACATCATGTTTATGAATATATAGATGGATGTATAATAATTATTACCGTTTAGTATTACAGTTGCGAAGGTTCCTATGATTTTTTTTATCCTGTGCGACAACAGCACTCTCAATGGCGACCAAGAGGCAGCACCAATTCATAGAAGTGTGGCTTACGTATTTGCATTCTGTTCCACGTGGTTTGCTTCACGATATGTGATGACAGCGATACAATTTTAATGCAGTGGGTTGAATCTATTGAATATTATACTATTAAATATCCGCTCTTAGCTAACTTATTGATAAATTGTGGCTGATCACATTTGCGTCCTGAATACATTAATGCACGATTATAAATGTCAACAACATACGAAACTGCCTTTAGTGCTATAAATTGTAGCAACCATCAAAGGATTCGCCAAATTTAACCTGCTTTAGGTTCCCTAAAGATACAGAAAGGAAAGCAAAGGTTATCAAAATTGTTCGTGAAGGTTGTTATTTCAAAGAGCATTTGCAATAAGCTGTTTCCTGTGTTTTCTATTTACCTTCTACATGGTTTCGTGAATATTTTTTGAACATTCGGTAGTTCAATTATTTTGGATGTTAAGAAAGATTCTGTTAGCTAATAAATACCATATAAAACATGATTTATGCTATTTTATCATTTTTAATTTATGGTCATATTAACACAATTATTTTTAAATACCACTGTAACTTCTAGGTGTAGGATCCCCCATCTCAGTAAGGTTTTCCATGATTCATTGAGCAAATGTTCAGACGGTCCCTTGTTTTGCTTTTGAACAATAAATGTATATGTTGTTCTCTCTCTTTAACAGTAATAAATTTGTATTTTATAATAAAAATATCGTTTTATTATTTATACCCCACACATTTTCAGATGTTATGCGCATGCCTACGCGCTGTTTTAAAAGTGTTCTAATTTTTTAAGCATTAAAAATTATGAATTACAAGGCAGTCACCTATATTACCTCTTATATATTTAACAGCCAGGAGCGCTAGTGTCAAACGGATGCATTTTCCTCCTATTAAGCCTTCGCAACAGTTGTACTACACTGTGCAATTACTTTACAACATTTGTTTCTCAGACTGCAGTCGTATTCCAAAGGTCAGACAGTATCGCTCGTGTGCTGGATCCAAGACATTTTAAGAGAGGAGGAACGGTCCTAGTTATGATAATTGTAATATGTAGACTAATTATTTTTTAGATACTTTAGCATATAAAGTTAATTTCGTTAATTCTATGTAATACTTCATCGATTGAATCAATGTGGTCCGTCAACAAATTTTAAAAATTATCCAATTAATTTGCTGCAATCATTCAATTCTAATTAACATTATTTTGTTTTTACGAAATGGTCTCAATATTCTCGCAATATTCTGGGAAGAGGCCAACTGCATTATTTTCTCCTAGATCCACCCCAGATCTGTTTACTTAATGCAGTAAAGATTCATAAGTGATTGTACGGTAAAAGATAAAGAGAAACGTTTCATCCAGAGTATGTCCATTAGTAAAGCAAACGATCAATTGATTTAGATTTTCTTGATACATTCAGCAAATTCATTGTGCAACAGATTATCGAAAGGCAGCCATCAAGTGGAACTTTTCTTGTCCCCAAATGTCACATAGAGTATGTTACTTTTATTGACAAAGGGGAGCCTGACTAATATTTCTACTGGGTCTCGACCTCCGGGTGAGCGTGTGAGTTTGATTGAATTGCAGAGCTGACGGACACAGACATCTCAGCGCAATCGATCGGATTCTTCTTCGCGGGCTTCGACACGGTATCGACGGCGCTGTGCTTCACCGCCTACGCTCTGTCGCGCCACCCGGACGCTCAGCTGCGCCTGCACGAGGAGGTGGACGCAGTGATGAAGGAGACGGGGGGCAAACCAACCTACGAGGCCATCCAAGGCATGAAGTACCTGGACGCCGTCATCAACGGTGAGTCTCGTCATGGAGAGGTGTTAAAAAGCGTATTTATGAGACCATCTAGGGCACGAGGTACCTGGACGCTGTCATGAACGATGAATCGCGTCATAGAGTACGATTAAAATCCTTCCTTCGAGGTCATCCAGGGCATGAAGTATCTATACGCTGTCTTCAACGGTGAGTCTCCTCATGGAGTACTGTTAAAAAGCCTACCTACGAGGCCATCCAGGGCATGAAGTACCTGGACGCAGTCATCAACGATAAGTCCCGTCATGGAGTAGTGTTAAAATACCTACCTACGAGGCCATCCAGGGCATGAAGTACCTGGACGGCGTCATCAACGGTGAGTCTCCTCATGGAGTACTGTTAAAAAGCCCACCTACGAGGACATCCAGGGCATGAAGTACCTGGACGCCGTCATCAACGGTGTGTCGCGTCATGAAGTAGTGTTAAAAAGCGTATTTATGAGACCATCTAGAGCACGAGGTACCTGCACGCTGTCATCAACGGTGAGTCTCGTCATAAAGTACTATAAAAAGTCTACCTACGCGACCATCCAGGGCATGAAGTATCTGGATGTTGTTATCAACGGTGAGTCTCGTCAAGAGTACTGTTAAAAAGCCTACCTAAGAAGCCATCCAGGGCATGAAGTACCTGGACGCTGTCATCAACGATAAGTCTCGTTATAGAGTCGTGTTAAAAAGCCCATTTACGAGGCCATCCAGGGCATGAAGTACCTGGACGCAGTCACCAACGGTGTCTCGTCATAGAGAATAGTTAAAAATCCTACCTATGAGGCCATCTAGAGCATGAAGTAACTGAACACAGTCATCAACGGTTAATTTCGTTTTCTTTGGAAACGAATGATTGACTGTGTTATTATAATATTGTGAATAATTACTCGTATTTTCGCAGCGTTTCCCAGCTGAAATGAAATACTACATATCTAAAGCATATTACGTTGTAAAATACAACAAGAGATAAAACAGCCACAGAAGTAAAAAAATTGCAAGACTTTTTTTCTCTGTAAATTCATGCCATATTGTAGCGGTACAGAATTATTCAGATAAATTAAATTGAGTAAAGTAGACCTAAGAAATTTTGTACTGAAGAAAAAACATACGGCGTCACGCGCGCAGCCCCTTTCTTGCAACAGCCACGGTCCCCTGACCCACTTCGAAGGTTTATGACACCCCACCCAACAACCGAACAAAGGGGTAAACTGTAAAAGCGCCCAGCGGGAGCCCACAGCTGGAATACTTCCGAAACGCCTGTCATCGTGATCGGGGAATCCCAAAGCAATAATTCAGTAGCAGGGAAGCCCCTTCAGAGACGTGACCTACTTTCGAAACAAAGAACGGAAAAATTCTACACTCCGCCGGAGCCCTATTGGCCAAATTTAGTGTACAACGCCATCACCTTTAGCCAATAGCGAAGCGATCTTTGTAGGGAGCAAGAACATATGAGGAGAAAGGGTGGGGAGAAGAGTTAACCTTGTGCGTTTAGGAGAAATAAAGTTACATTAGGAGAGAGAGACTTCTCTGGGGTGGGAGTCGGTCGCGGAGAGAGGTGGGTGCACCTCTAGGACTGGCATTCACTTGAAGTTTTTATTAGAGAGGAAGTGCAAAGGCACTTACGGGGGGATAGGCGAATCTTTTGCCACTGCTTATTAGCTACCAAAATTCGCATTCGCAGAAATTTGTTCGAGAGGAACCGCAGACGCTTCGAGAGACAATTTCTGTGTGCTCCGCACTTGTATCGGGGGTCAATACACCCCGGCCATCTACAACCCCGCCGAAGCAGCCTCCAGACGGCCCTTCGCTGACGTCACTGACCGCCGCAGCCGCCGCCAGCCGCGCCGACGCCCTGCTGAAGGTGCGCCCCGGCCGCATTCTTGGAAAGGACACCCCGGCCGCCCTCAAGCTCCGTCGCGCTCGCACGGGCCTACTGAGCACATCTGCCACGGAGGGATTCCAGGCTACCTAATCAGGGTCAATAAGCCCTTAGAGACTTTTGTTAAAGCGGTGCCGCGCTGAGGCACAGAAAGATCCTCAGGGACAAATTTGTAATTGTAGCTGTAGAATAATTTTTGTACCACTCTTCTTTAGTTGTAAGTTCTTAATTTCTAATTTTTATTTTATTTTATTCACAATTTTCTTTTCATCGATGTAACTTCCCTGGTACAGCCCTGTCTAGGAATAAACGTTGTCTTTTACCAGTAACCAAATTGTTTATTTTGAATGCCCATGCATGCTTTAGCTTACAATGCCTTCCATCACTGAATCTTATGTTCAGGAAATTGTTACAATTGGCTAGTTTTTTATACGAGTAAGGGAGTCGTTACAATTGGCTAGTTTTTATACGAGTAAGGGATTAGGACCGACTGAGCTAGAACCGGGCCGCTACCCGCGCGTTTCCCTACGCCGCGAGTTGGTTGTTACAATATATTCGTAGCAATGAAAATGTGCACATACACAAAAAACAACTTCTTATGCAAAAAAACTATGCGCATTCGACAGCGTCATTTTAGCTCAATTTTCACAAAAAACTTTTTTTTCTCGGAAAAAGTGCATCTGTAATTCGTCATAAAATTGATCTAGATTATAAGGTATTTTTTTGCCACTTTGGCTTTCGGATACCTGAAAATATATTTTGCCTGCAGATGAGCTGTGCGCAAACTGACAAAACTTTGTTATATTCGTGAGAGCAAGGAAGTTAGGGTTAGGGGAAGTTAGGGGTAGCTTTCACGAGTAACTATTCTTACGATACCGTTACTGAAGGGAGTTATGCCACCCTCAAAAGCATATGAGAATACCAAAATTAATTGATTTGGAGAGAAATTCGCGTTACACGTCCACCACGTACAATATAAGTGCATAGCCTAAATGCATATCCCGAATACATCAAGGAGACTCCGTTGTTAACTTTCATCACGTTTTCAACTCATTTCTCAATATGTCGACTTTTAGAAAACAATTATTCGTATACTTACTTTTTTAACAGAAGTTGCGAAGTGAATTACTTTTCATTCTAGCAACATACTAGATAATTTGTTTTCATGTGAACATTGTCCAGTTAGCGAAATGCCAAAATTTAATAATAGAAGAAAGAATAATAAAATAAGAATAATAGATTAGAGTACCATAGTCCAAACACAATTTATCCAACGCTCGTGAAATTAATTGGATTAATAACATCCATTTCTCCTCTTAATTTACTTTGCGTGAATGATTATCAAAATAATCGCTCTCATGTTTGAGCCAACGATTCGTTAACGACTACTTTTCGCTTTCAGAATCGCTGCGCCTGTTCCCGCCGGTGCAGGCCTTGAACCGCGTGTGCCGCGAGGACCTGGTGATCCCGGCCACCGAATCGTCTGCCGCCGTCCGCTTCTGCAAGGGAGACGCCCTGTTCTTGCCCGTCTTCGGCCTTCACCGAGACCCCGAGCATTTCCCAGACCCCGACGCCTTCGACCCCGAACGCTTCAGCGACGAGAACAAGCACAACATCAAGCCCTGCACCTACATGCCCTTTGGGATGGGGCCCAGGTTCTGCATAGGTATGTTCAAACAATTACACTGGACGCGCACCTCGTTCTGTCACTAATGAGTTTTTGCACGGCATAGCGTACAACACTAACAGCAGATGGTAGAGACGAACAGGATATGAAAAATAAAAATATAAGAGGAAAAATAGCCACTAGACAGTTGAATCCAGTGCTATGAAACTCCATTATTTCAATGAAGACAAAGAAACGCATATATAGCTCATTCATAGAATACAACACTCTATGGGGCAGAAGTCTGAACTCTATCAAAAAATTGAAAGAAAAATTACAATCAACAGAAATGATGTTCTGGCGAAGATGTAAACTTTCTCTGTTAGATGATTATAAGAAATGATGAAATAATAAATAAAATGAAAGTGCAAACAACCTTGAACGAGACGATCGAAATGAAAGAACTAAAATGGTATGGACATATGAGAAGGTTGAAATTGGATAGACTTCCTCAAAAAGTTTGGGAGTGGATACCAAATCGAAGAAGATACAGGGGAAGACCAAGAAGAACATGGAACATGGCAATAACTAAAGTCATGGAAAGAAGAGAAATAGAGGAAAACGATGTATGGGTTAAAGAGGCATTGAAATTGGAATGCGGAAAACGGCAAGGCTGAAAAAAACCGCTAAATAGATAGATAGATAGATAGATAGATAGATAGATAGATAGATAGAGTACAACAATCTACTGTAATCTCGATCATCTGCGCATGGCGCGTGCGCATATACACGAAAGTGATGCGAAATTCCAACTGCTCATGTGTAGAAATCGATTGTGTTGTCGACCACTGTAATGTTTCGCAGTGCAAAAGCCCTACAGACCTTGGCTCGCAAATCATTCTAATCAATATTTGGGATCCTTTTCAATATAAGTACAAATTTTTTTTCTGCATAATTTGCAATCTGTTCCTATCGGAACAATAAGCAAATGGTGTCAACAGATACATTTCCCTCTCTCCGAGAAGCGAGCTATAAAGGTGTATCATGTGACAGAGTGCGATGTTGTTATATTTATTCATACTGACACTCCTCTGGACGGAGAGCTCACCTCGCCTCTCACTCCGCGCCTAGTCGTCGTCACACGATTCGTGAGAAATTTCGGGATGTGTGTCGGAACAACACTGCGTCCTGGGAGTCGCTCTGATGAAACGTTATAGAGAAGCTACTCGTGCATCCAGCGGAACGCCGAATGTACGAGGGTTCTCTGTATATCATCTTGTTTTGTCTCACGTACCAATGTGTTGCAGTACTTGGCATAGATATTTATCGAGATGTATATTATTAGAGCTTCGCAGATCTTTATTAAAAGATTGTATGAATTCTGGAATTAGCACTTAGTATCAGAGCCCCACAGCA